CTATACTCTCTTCTACCTCCACCCATCACAAAACCCCCCAAATCACCACACCGTTGTCTTTCTCCATGAGTTTTTTCTTTTTTGGTCCATCCCTTCACCTTCCTCCTGTCCCCAGCACTTCCAACTCCCAGAGATGTCAGCCTGCTTTCTATCCACTGATCATTATTATGTAGAAAAACTTGGAAAATGCATAAAAGAGAAAAAAATTATACTGAATATTGTAATCTAGAGATACTTTAGCATATATTTTCCTTTAAACTTTTTTCTAATTATAAACAATTTTAGACATAATCTCAATGAGCTTTATTATTGCAGTCTAACAAATAAAAGAGGGAAGTTTGTGAGAGTTTGACATACTGCATAAAAGTAGAAATCTGTGCCAACTGAATTATCAAATGGGGAAACAATCTGTAAAACTCAAAGAAAGCACTTAATGACACAGAAAGTAAAAATTGACAGGATTCGAAGGAACTTAACTTACTGGAAAATAATATTAACTTAGAGGCACAAAGAGCAAAAATAATTATTTCAACACTTGATATTTTAGTAATAAAGATGATGGAATATTAAGGAAATATAGACAGCCCCAGTGGGACTCCTGAATCATCAGAAGTTCTCTCTATGCTTTTCTAGTAATGGCTCCCTAGTTTTCTATGGACTGTAAGTTGTTAAGGTAATGAAAGAGTACCTAACAGGAAGGGGGATTACAGGTCTCATAATGCAGGGAAAGGGCCTATATCAATTCAGGAAGTTTCAGATTACAATTTTGAGCTGGGCTTGACCTTTATGTCAGCATGCAGCAGTTAGATTAGTAAATTTTCTAAAGATTCTACAAACCAATCTGAGTTCAGTCTTCTCTGACTTTCCTGGGGAAAACAGCCAAAAAAGGTGGGCAACGTTAGAAACTAGAAGGTGGGGAGGCTTAGATGAAGATAAAGGATTATAGTTAGAACTAGAGAGAACGTTTGTGGTTACCTACTCGTGTGTGTGTGTGTGTGTGTTTAGATATATTAAAGTTTATTGCATAAATGGTCAGAAATCACTGTTGAGTAGCTTAAAGTAGGAATACTTTTGGGTTTAGGGTGAGGCCTCAGAATAGATAAGAAGCAAAATTTCTAAGACTTGAAGAAGTCACAAAACCCTGTTAGCTTGGTATTCTTGTAAGGAGGGAAAGAAATGCAGTATTCTAATAAAACTGATAGAATATACTTATTTCTGTTCATATCATTGATTCAGCAGAAATTTTGGGGGCATATGCTGAGTGTACTGCACCTGACACCGGAGAGAAAATGTTAATAAACTAAAACATGGACTGTATATTATGGTGGAGAAAACACATACACAGTATTAAATGTCAGTAAACACAAACTTCTTTCTCTGCAGCCCTTTTCAATTATGTCTATATTCAACAAAGAAAAGAAAACGGGTCCTCACCTAATTAGAAATTAGGCGGCATATGTGGTTAGGTGATCAGACTATGCTGTGAAATCCCCATTTGGTTTACATTCCATTGTTTTGTTTTCATTTATTTACATAAACTAATTTGGATTATATTTTATCTTTTTTTCCCCTTTCTGCAACTTGTTGATTTGATTTGATTTTTTTAAATTATCACCATCATTGTACTCTATTGGCGTAAAATTCAGTGTCTAATTTCTTTTTTTTTCCTTTTTTAAAGTATATTTTATTGATTATGCCATTACAGTTGTCTTATATCCCCCCTTCATTCCCCTCCACCTTGCACACCCCCTCCCCCACCATTCCCCCCCTTTAGTTTATGACCACGTGTCTCAAGTTCTTTAGATTCTATATTTCCCATACTATTCTTGTCGTCCTCCCTATTTTCTACCTACCATCTATGCTACTTATTCTCTGTATCTTCTCCCACCTTCTCCCCCCACTCCCCTGTTGCTAACCCTCCATGTGATCTTCATTTCTATGGTTCTACTCCTGATCTAGCTGTCCTCTTAGTTTGCTTTTGTTTTAGGTGTGGTTCTTAACAACTGTGAGTTTGCTGTCCTTTCACTGTTCATATTTTTTATCTTCTTTTTCTTAGATAAGTCCCTTTAACATTTCATATAGTAAAGGCTTGGTGATGATGAACCCCTTGAACTTGACCTTATCTGAGAAGCACTTTATTTGCCCTTCCATTCTAAATAAAAGCTTTGCTGGATAGATCAACCTTGGTTGTAGGTCTTTGGATTTCATGACTTGGAATACTTCTTTCCAGCCCCTTCTTGCCTGTAAGGTGTCTTTTGAGAAATCAGCTGACAGTCTGATGGGGACTCCTTTGTAGGTGACTGTCCCCTTATTTCTTGCTGCTTCTAGGATTCTCTCCTTCATTTTAATCTTGGCTAATGTAATGATGATGTGCGTTGGTGTGTTCCTTCTTGGGTCCAACTTCTTTGGGACTCTCTGAGCTTCCTGGATTTCCTGAAAGTCTATTTCCTTTGTCAGATTGGGGGAGTTCTCCTTAATTATTTGTTCAAATAAGTTTTCCACTTGTCGCTCTTCCTCTTCCCCTTCTGGTACCCCTATAATTCGGATGTTGGAATGTTTAAAAATGTCCTGGAGGTTCCTAAGCCTCTCCTCATTTTTTTGAATTCTTGTTTCTTCATCCTTTTCTGTTTAGTCATTTTTTTCTTCCTTCTGGTCCACTCCATTGATTTGAGTCCCAGTTTCCTTTCCATCCCTATTGGTTTCCTGTTCATTTCCCTTCATTTCAATTAGTTTAGCCTTCATATGTTCCTCTAATTTGTGGCTAAAATCAACCAGTTCTGTGAGCATCCTGATCATCAGTGTTTTGAACTGTGCATCAGATAAGTTAGCTATCTTTTGGTTGCTTAGAGTTATCGACTCTGGGGCTTTGATCTGTTATATATGAGCCATAATGTTTTGGTCTGGTCACACTTGTTACATATGAGGGGCAGAGCCCTAGGTGTTCACCAGGGTAGGGCCGCCCAGGTTGCTGGGTTGTGACGCTGTATGAGGGGGTGGGGTGAAAGAGGGGCAATGGCAGTCCCCTCTGCTGCTTCCCACTGCTGGGGCTTGTGCAGTCCGTCTCACTGCTTGCTCCTTCGCCTGGTTTCTCTGCACACGAATGTGTGATCTCGGTCAGCCTGCTGCCTTGCACCCTCACTGGGTCTGGCTGTCGCAACCCCACGCCTGGGATCTGCCAACCACCACCCGCGCACCTGGGTGGGTCTGGCCGAGTTTTCCTGCGTACCCCACTCCACCAGCTGCTGACTCCACCCGTCTTACCAGGCTGGCTGAAGGGTTCGTTGTTGTCAGACTTCTGTATAGTTCAATTTTCTGTGTTTTGGTTGCATTTTTGTTACTAAAACTTTGTTGTCTTTAAACCTGGTTGTGCAAGGAGGCACAGTATTTCCACCTATGCCTCCATCTTGGCCGGAAGTTCCAGATAAGTAAAATTTGTCACCCAAGTCACTTGTACACCTGTGTCACCACGTTGGCTTGCCACTGCCGAGCCATGAAAGTGAACCTTCAGGGTGAAGCACTACACCCCATCCTAAGGAGGAGGCAAGGAGATGACAGCAAGCCTGGCATACCTTTCCCAGGGGATTGGTTCGCTTTTCTCAGTGTCTAATTTCTCAGCAGATGGAGACTTAGCAGGTCGCAACTTAGCAGATAGTTTTGAGTTCTCCAGCCTCATCCTCAAATTATGGATGCTCAAAGGGTTACTTGATGTGATAGAGTTCTCCATACCCACTTAGTCCTCGTCTGGCATTTTTCCCCCTTCAGCATCTTAGTGTTTTATTATTTTTAATGGTGGTAAAATGAATATAACAAAATTTTCCATCACCATTTTAGATTGACAGTTCAGTGACATTAAGTACATTCACACTGTTGTTCTACCATTTGTTCATCACTACCATTTGCTCATCTTGCAAAACTGAAACAGTACCTATTAAACAATAACTGTATTCTCCCTTCCCCCTAGCTGACCTTTGTATTTTAAATGTTGTTTTTCAGCAATGAAAAAAATGGTTTTAATATCATAAGCAGTTTAGCCATTTCCTTTTTACCAGTGAGATCTCACTTGTGAAATTTTTTAAAAAATAATAAAACTAACAGACGAAGTACTTGTGGATTCTGTACCCATAAGGGGTATAAGAACATAGAATTGACTGTGTAACCTTAGCAAGTTATTTAACATTTCTATGTTTCCTCAGGAAAGGTATTATCGGCCATTTTTTATACCTCAGCAGTAACCATTCAAGTCTAAAAAGGGTCAAGACCCTATTTTAATAGAGAAGGATTCCAGTGCTTGAGATAAATACTGTATCCTTTTAGGCTTTCCTCTGTGTCCTTGCTGTTTCAATGAGGTTCAAAGGGGACAGGGGGAATCTGTCATTTTAAAAAATCCTTTCCCAAGTGTGACCCCTATTTAAAAATGTGTAATTCTAAGACTTGAAACCACAATTTTTTTTTCTTAAATGGGAGTTAATGTATTAGATATTTGTCTCCCTTAAAATAATCTTCACCTGTTAAAATTGTCCTGGTCATGGTCATATAAATTTTGTATCTAAATTCAATATATGGTTGATCTTAGGAGTCTAGATTTAGTTTTTTTCCCTATTTCTATTTCACAACTTGTGTTTCTACAACTTCTTTTTCCTCAACCCTCACCCATCCTGACCCCTCCTGTCCAAACCAAATACTCCCTTAAATCTCCCTTCATTTTCATTACGTCACTAAATACATGTAACACAGAGGATTAATGCCTAATATCATAGCTCATTGTTTATATTATTACTTTGCTAGTCTCAGTGTTTTAAGATACACATTGCATTATAATAACAAAAACTACTTCATGTTGTTCAATGCTAATTCATATATACTTAGTATATTTAATAAAATCTTCATATTGATTGTATAGTATTTTTCAAATCAACTCCTAATATAAAAATTCTTACTCTAACATATTTCAAAAGAATTGCTTACATCTATGAAAGAAACTTCTAATGTTCATTTTATAGGTTATTGAAGACAATGGTGTTCGAAGAGTTGTTGTGGTTCCTCAAGCACCAGAGTTTCATCCTGGTGGTCACACAGTTATACATCGTTCTACACATCCTCCTTTGCCAGGTTTCATTCCTGTCCCAACCATGATGCCCCCTCCACCTCGCCATATATATTCACCAGTGACTGGAGCTGGCGACATGGCAACACAGTATATGCCACAGTATCAATCTTCACAAGTGTATGGAGATGTAGGTAAGACATCTAATAATATGTCTGTTTTATGGAATAGGCTATACTTGGCTTGGATATAATAGATGCTGTTATCATGTTATCTAAAACCAAAAATGGTTAACAATGTCAATTATTTTTTGTTATCTAAGCACTATTTCATCCTCATGATCATCTTTCAAGGCAAATGAGTAAACAAAAATTAAAGAGAAGGAAGTAATTTATATCATGTAGTAATATTTAGTGGGGTTACATTCAAAGAAGACATCTTCTCCTCTGTTACGCTATCTAGGCTCTGAGGAAAATTTTCAGCCAGGAATAATCACATCATTGGTAAATATTGAAGGCCGCCCTGCTACTAACCAAAGTTGCTATGTTCTATTGAAAGTTTGAAAAAAAAAAAAAAAGTAAGATATAACCTTGCACTGAGGGAGTTACTAAATTTTGAGGAAGAATAGAAACAAAATACACACAAAATAGTAATCTTATTTTTTCCTGTGGCTTTAAATACCATCTATATACTTTCATGTACCTCCCTTATAGCATTTCTAAAACATAAATCTAATTTTGGAACCTGCTTTTATCTGTCAGCTTCATCTCAGTATATGGTACCGCTGTCCATTCAATTTGCTCAAGTGAAAACCAGATGGTAAAATTTGATTCTTCCACATCATTTGGTACTAGTTTTATTTTTAGAAATTTCCCAAATTTATCTACTTTTTCTTACTGCTACTCAGATCTAATCCACCATCAGCTCTTGTCAGGACAAGTGCATTGTCAGCCTCCCAGTTTTCTACTGTTATTCTTGGCCCCAACCATCCAGGATCAGCCAGAGTAATCATTTAAAAATATAACTCAAACTGTTCTCTTTCCGTGACTTCCCTTTGCAATTGTATAAAGTCCTAAACCCTTCACCAGATCAGGGTTTCTCAACCTTAGCATTCTTGATATTTGAAGATGGATAAGTGTCTGTTGTGGAGGACGGGATTTTGCTTTGTATGATGTTTAGCAGAATCTCTGCCTTCTACCCACTAGATTTCAGTAACACAGTACTCCAACCCTCCCCTCACCCTCATGCTCAACTTTACCCAATTGTGACAACTAAAAATACTTACAGGCATTGACAAATGACCCCTGGCCTGGGAGCCAAAATTATCCCTGGTTGCAAACCACTGCCCTGGACAAGGCTCTGTTCTGTGATCTTTCATTGCCTTGTCCTTCTTGTCTCCACCATCCTCCTTCAGCTTTTCATAACCTCCAAGCTTTTTCTTGCTTCATTGCCTCTGTACATGTTGTTCTCTCTACCAGGAATGCTCTTCCCTCTTTTCCTTGGAAGGCTCATGTTTTTCCTTTAGATTTCAGCTCTCAGAAAAACTATCCAGGACCCTGCATTATCAGTCTAGCACTGAAATCTGTTTCTTTCACAGAACCAAACAGTTTTATTTTTTGTATGACTTTCTCCCTCATTTGCCTATAAATCCCCAAAGAACTGAATCTGTTTGATATATCAGTTTTCCTTGCAATTAGTTAGCAGAACCTGTCATTTATACTTAGTAAATTTGTAGAAGATACAACTGCTTAAGCACAAAGTTTGAAATATGCAGCACAGTCTTTACTAGGTACATTATATATTATAGATTGTGTTATACATTATGTAATTATATACTATATAATATATTATACATTATATACTATATATATAATGTTGTTTTTTATGTTATTTTAAACTTATTTCTATCCCCCAAGTAATACTTACTGATTCTGTAGGTCTGGGTGGGATTTGGGTTTCTGCATTTTAACAAACTAGGTGAGGCTCATGCAGTATTCCAATGAACATAATTTTCAGTAGCAAGAGTTTATACTACAGATTAGTCTCTTCTATTTTCTTACTGCTAATTTTTACCTGGTTTTTAAAAACGTGTTTGAAAAATTTAAAATACCAGATGTTACAATTACTACTGTTTTGCATTGTTAAAACCCATTGTTATTCAAAGGGGATATGTGTTAGACTTCATAAATACAATTAACAATGATGTGAAGAAAAGTGAAGCATACAAATCTACAAAGAGTACATCTTTACAAACTAGCTACCTAGTGGTAGAAGACAAGAGACATACTGTATTTGAGGTTATAAGCCAAGGAATTTACAACAGGCAGCAGTTTTATAACTGGTAGCTATCTCCTTGATATTTTTCCACATTTTCAATAGATTCCCAAAGTGGGACCTAATCCAACATTTCACTGTCAACAACTACCATTACTGAATCTGAACTTTGCTGGACATGTATTATATCACTTAATCCTCAATAAAATTCTGCAAGATAACAAATGAAGAAACTGAGGCTCAAAAATATCAATTAATTTTTGCATGGCCATTGCTAGTTTATTGCTGAGGATTTTACTCTCTCGGAGCTTTTTTGTAATAAAGTTCCTGCTCTTTCTACTACATATTCTTTATATAACCCCCCATAGTTGCTTTATTATTTTATTTATCTTGAGTAATAAATGAAATGTAAAAACATTTGGATAACTACATTTTCAAAGTATATACTAGTTAAAGTTTCATTTTTTTATTGAGATAATTCATATTACAAAATTAACCACTTGAAATTTTACAATTCAGTGGTTTTTTAGTATATTCATTATATACTATATTTACTAATGCTAATTCCAGAACATTTCATCCCAGAAAGGAACTCTGTGCCTGTTAAGTCAGTCTCAACTTCCTTTACCCCATCTCCTAACCTTCTTTCTATATTTCTATGGCTTTGCCTATTCTAGACATTTCATATAAAGGTACATACAGTACGTATATTTGATGTAAATGTTCATACAATGTGCGGCCTTTTATGTCTGGCTTTTTTTCACTTAGCTTATTTTTTGAAGGTTTATTTCAAGGTTTTAGCATGATTAGTGCTTTCTTTTTATTGTGAAAAACAGTTCATTATGTGGGTATATTACTTCTCAGTTTATTACTTGTTGGACTTTTGGGTTATTTTCACTTTTTCTCTATTATGAAAATCTGTTTTGACAGGCATATGTTTTTACTGCTTCTGGGTATATACCTAAGAGTGGAATTGCTGACTCATATGGTGATTCTATATTTACCTTTTGAGGGACTATAAAATTGTTTATCATAGTGACAGCCCTATTTTACATTCTCACCAGTGATGTATGAGGGCTCTAATTTCTGCATATCCTTACCAAAGCTTGTTGCTGTCAGCTTTTTAATTCTAGCCCTGCTGGAGTGTGAAGTTTTATCTCATTAAGATTTTGATTTGCTTGCCTCTAACAACTAACTACAGGTATAGGGCATCTTTTCAATTGATTATTGATATCTGTTCAGACCTTCAACCATGTTTTTTAATTGAGTTATTGTCTTTATTTTTGAGTTGTAAGAGTGTTTATATATTCTGGATACAAGACTATTTTAAGATACGTGATTTACAGATTTTTCTCTCATGTTGTCTTTTCATTTTCTTAATGGTATTCTTCATTGTAGAAAAGTTTTTAATTTTGATGAAGTCAGATTGTTTTAATTGCTTGTGCTTCTGTTTTCATATCTAAGAAACTATTGTCTAATCAAATGTCATGCAGATTTTCTCATGTTTTAAGTTTTACAGTTTTAATGCCTACATTTAGGTCTTTGATGACATTTGAGTTAATTTTTCTATACAGTGTTAAGTAAGGTTGACGTGTGACTGTCTGGAAACTCATTTTTTTTTACATGTAGGTAGCCAAATTCCTATGTTTTTATCCTAATGTTATTGTACATAATGTTACAGTATTTATTTTAAAGTGTATAGTATAAATTAATCTCTTCTATTTTCTTACAGCTAATTATGACTTAGTTTTTAAAAATGTGTTTGAGAAAATTTAAGAAAATACTGGATGTTACAATTACTACTATTTTGCATTGTTAAAACCCATTGTTATTCAAAGGGGATATGCATTAAACTATAAGAATATATACTTAACACTATATAGAAAAATGTTATACCAATATTCTTAAAACATTGATAAATTAACACCCTACTGGGATTCTTGAGACTTTAAAATATTTTCTTTAAAGATTTTATTTTTTATTTTTGAATAATTTTTACCACCCCCTCGCAATCACAACATTGTTGTCCATGTCCAAGAGTCCTTTCTCCTTTTTGCTTAATCCCTCCACCCCTTACCTTCCCCCTTCCGCTGTCATCCTATCTGTGAATCTGTCTCTTGTTCTTCTCAGTTCAGTTTGTTCATTAAATTCCACATATAAGTGAAATCATGTAGTATTTGTGTTACTCTGACTGGCTTATTTCACTTAGCATAATTTTCTCTAGTTTTGTGCATATGGAGGCAAAGGGTAAAAATTTCTTCTTTTTTATAGCCAGGTAGTATTCCATTGCGTAGATGTCCCATAGTAGTTTTAGCCACTCGTCTATTGATGAACACTTGGGCTATTTCCATAACCTGGCGATTATAAATAACACTGCAGTGAACATAGGGGTGCTTATGTTCTTTTGAATTAGTGTTTTGTGTTTCTTCAGATATATTCTCAACAGGGGGATTGCTGGTTCAAAAGGCAGACCCATTTCTAATTTTTTCAGGTATCTCTATACTGCTTTCTACAGTGGCTGTACCAATCTGCATTACCCCCAACACCTCAGAAGGGTTCCCCTTTCTCCACATCCCTCCAGCACTTGTTTGTTGATCTGTTGATGATAGCCATTCTGACAGATGTGAAATGATACCTCATTGTGGTTTTAATTTGCATTTCTATGATGATTAGTAACATTGAACATCTTTTCATATGTCTATTGGCCTTCTGTGATGTCCTCCTTCAAAAAGTATCTAGTCATGACCTTTGCCCATTTTCATTAAGTGTATGTTATTGATTTTGCTATTACAGTCTTCCCAGTTTTCCTCCTTTGCTCCCTTCCTCCCAGTACCACCCTTCCCTTCAGCTGTCACCCCTTAGTCCATGTTCATGGGTCGTACATATGAATTCTTTGGCTTCTCCATTTCTTATACTGTTCTTAACATACCCCTGCCTATTTTGTACCAATTTTGCTTCTTAATCTCTGTACTTTTCTCCCAGTCTTCCCTTTCCAACTCCCAACTGATAACTCTCCAAATGATCTCTTATGTCTATGGTTCTATTCATGTTCCAATTGTTTGCTTAGTTTGTTGGGTTTTTTTTGTTTGTTTTAGATTTTGTTGATAGTTGTAAGTTTGTTGTCATTTTAATGTTCATAGTTTTGATCTTTTTCTTAAGTAAGTCCCCTTGACATTTCTAATAATAATGGCTTGGTGATGATAAACTCCTTTAGCTTTACATTGTCTGAGAAGCACTTTATCTGCTGTTCGATTCTAAATGATAGCTTTGCTGGATAGACTAATTTTGGATGTATGTCCTTGCTCTTCATCACTTTTACTACTTCTTGCCAGTCCCTTCTTGCTTGCAAAGTTTCTTTTGAAAAGTCCTCCGCTGATAGTCTTATGGAAACTCCTTTGTAAGTAACTCTTTGCTTTTCTCCTGCTGCTCTAAGATCCTCTCTTTATGTTTAACTTTTGGCATTTTAATTATGATATGTCTTGGTGTGTTCCTTCTTGGGCCCAATTTCTATGGGACTCACTGCTTCCTTTCTATTTCCTTCACAAATTAGGGACGTTTTTGTTATTTTTGCAGGTAAGTTTTCAACTTCTTGCTCTTCCTCTTCTTTTGGCAACCCCATGATCCAGATGTTCGCACTTTTAGAGATGTCTCAGAGTCATCTTTTTCTCTCCTCATTTTTTTGAATTCTTGTTTCTTCATTCTGTTCTAGTTAATTGTTTATTTCTTCCTTATGTTTCAAATCGGTGGTTTGAATCCTGGCTTCCTTCCCTTCATTGTTGGTTCCCTGTGGATTTTTCTTTATTTCATTTAGTATAGCCTTCATTTCTTTCTTTATGCTTTTGCTGTGCTCAATGAGTTCTCTGAGCTTCCTTATCACTAGTGTTCTGAACTCTAAATCTGGTAAATTGGCCATCTCTGTTTTACTTAGTTCTATTTCTGGAGCTGTGTTCTCTTCTTTCATTTGGGCCATATTTCTTTGTCTCCTTAATTTGGCAGCCCCCTGTGTAGTAGGTAGAACTGCTTTGATTCCCTGTCTTGGTGCATCTGTTAAGTTTTATGGGGTGGAGCCTTGGGTATTTACCAGTGCAGGGCAACCCACTTCACCACTCTGTGGCTCTGCATGTGGGGGAGGGGTTGAAGAGGAGACAGTGCCCTTTCTAGCTGCTGGAGTCTTTCTCAGCACTTGCCCCATTTTCATTCACTTCACCACCTTCCCATATGTGACTGGTGTCCCTGTAGCTGCTGCCCTGGTGGTGGTTCCCAGAGCGGGTGGGTTTGCATATGTTCTAAGACACCGCAGGCCCTTTACATGGACTCTGCCAAGAGACTGGCAGTTTGCTCCACCACCCCAACCCCCACCAATGTTTATAACCAGAAGTTATAAGACTTTATTTTCTTGGTGCAGGAACCCTGGGCTACGTGGGCTGGCCTGGATCTGGGATTGCTCGCTCGCTCCCAAGGTTTCCCTCCAGATTTTTATCTACCACTCATGAATGTAGGACCACCCATTCTGCCAGCTGCTGCTACCTCACCTCCATCACACTACAACCTCTCTGTCCCAGCTCCCCATCTCTGCCCCTCCTACCCATCTGGATGCATATGGCTTCTTAAATCCTTGGTTGTTGGACTTCATAGTTCAACTTTCTGGCAGTTCTGGGTGTTTTTTGTTTTGAGGTTAGTTGTGATCCTACTTATAGCTGTGCAAGGTAATGAAGCATGTCCATCTATGCCTCCATCTTGACCAGAAGTTCCTTTTTCCATTTTTTAATTGGGTTGTTTGGGTTTTTTTGTTGAGTTTTGTAAGTTCTTTATAAGTTTTGTTGTTTAAAAATAAACTGAGGACAGTTGATTTAACAATATTTATTGTTAATTTTATTATATTGTGTGACTTACAATATCTCAAGATGCAATGCTTTTTATACCTAGATTCTCTTACTAATAAACAATCTACTCATTTCTTTTTGGTAACTCTTAAAATTTTTTTTAGTGATGATTTGTGTTTTTGAATCATAAGGGGATTTAGGCAGGTGGTGGTTTTGTTTTTACCTATTTTATAGGTTTGAAGTTGACAGAGATGTTAAAAGTAATGGCTTAAAAAGAGTAAAAGATAGCTCAGTTCAGATCTTATTCCCCACCTGTAATAATCATAGCATACCACCAAGCTTTTCCTATGAAGAATAATAGTTACTTGGGAAAAGGTGAAGGAGTGTCTCCGTAAATTTATGTTGTGTCTGTGCATGTGTAATCTAGTCACAAAGTTCAGTTCCATTAGATGGCAGATACACAGAAATAGTGCTTTTTTTTTTTGCAAAATTATTCTTCAACATGTTATGTTTTATATAATTATGATAGATTTATTTTCTGTTCTATCTCATGTCACAAATGTATTTGGAGAAATTGACCATTTAAATGTTTTTAATTTTATATTTCTTTCTAGATGCTCACTCTACTCATGGAAGGTCCAACTTTAGAGATGAAAGATCTAGTAAAACATATGAACGTTTACAGAAAAAATTAAAGGATCGCCAAGGAACACAAAAAGAGAAAATGAGCAGTCCACCGTCATCACCCCAGAAATGCCCTTCTCCCATAAGTGAACATAATGGACTTATAAAAGGGCAGAATGCTAGTGGTATAAACACAGGATTAGCAAAGAACAAGTCAGGAAAAGGGAAAGGTGGTGTACAAATTGATACAGAAATCAAAGGTAACTATTTAAATTACTCAGCTATTATTTTTGGTATTTTCATCAATATTTAACCTACAAAAAGTACATGCTAACCTTTAATCATTTTGTCATGCCCAAAATAAACTATAGATTATTAGCTTAACACTCCCTAAATGTAAGAAAATGTTTTAGAACCTAAATTGTTACTAAACTACCTCTTTTTACAATTTGGGGGGAACTCAATGAGTAATTTTACCTATATCATAAAGTGTACTAACCATGAGAAATTTTTATTTGTAGAAAAACTCCAGAGTTCATCCTGATTCTCTTTCTTCTCTTTTTGGGCCTTTGATAAGGCTATACTGGCTTTTATCAAAACTCTTTATTTTTCCAGCTTCTTTATGTAACTAGTTAGTTACATTGTTAACCAGTCTATTCATATACGTTATGGTAGAATATTCTCCATTCAATTCTTCAAAGGTTATTTTCTCTTAAAATCCCTGTGTTTCCCTTATCTGTGACTTCCTCAGTAGAACTCCAAGCAGTACTATTTTTTCTTTAAAATTTTCATTTCCCACCAATAAGTTTTATTGTTTTAGGGGCCCCAAGGCTTATATATTAATGTTTACAAAAATATTCTTGCATATTTTTGAGACCTCCTGATCATTCTTTTTCAGCACTCATGTTTCAGAAGAGTTAAACTAAAGTTTCAGATATATCTTTGGTGGCTGTAAATTATGGTCAAGTCAATTATATTTCTCTTTTGGGAATCACCACAATTAAGGCATTTCATGAAACAAATAGTTGACATTAAGAAGTATGAGACTGACAAATGAGAACTTTGTAGACAATTAGGGTTTTTTACAGCTGAATAAAAATATACTGTCTATAAGAAAAACTTGCTAGCTAGTTCGTGTGTGTGTGTGTGTGTGTGTGTGTGTGTGTGTGTTACAGCTAGTAATTGTGCTTAAAATGGAAATAGAAACTGAAGCAGAAGAATCATGGAGAGCCATAAGCTGCTGAATATCAACTAAGGAGTAAAAAATAGAAAATAAAAGTCTCAAATACTAACCTAGTTTCAGAAGACATTGTTGTGGAGGGAGTATATTGCATTTACACTAATTTTTTAATTAAAAAAATTTTTTTAGAAAAAGATGAAGAAACTAAAGCCTTGGAAGCACTTCTTTCCAACATTGTCAAACCGGTGGTAAGTATTTTATATATTTTCTTTACATTTATATTTAGTATAGGACTCATATAGGACTTTGGTATTTTTCTACTCAGGTCTTAAAACTTGTTCTATATAAGGAATATGGAGTCAGTAATGGATCTATATGGATCTAACATAAGAACAGAAGTGTTACCAGGAAAGTGGATATTCAACCAAGAATCCATTTGTTAAACAAGGATTTAATACATACTAAATGACATTGAAAATCACTGGATCAGACAAAGATCTCATAAAAGAGAGTGAATACAACTAATTATCAAATTTTTTAAAACCCATTTATATGAGTTTTATATAAATATGTCCAGTTGACTCCAGGTGCAAAAATAGGTAAATAATATCAAATTATAAAAGTTAATATTCTTTAATCTTTGTAAGTATAGATGTAATAGAAGAATTCAAAAAAAATCAGAAAAAGGTATGCCAGCAAAACTGAATACATACAATTGTCTGCATATTTTTTACATATCCTTCATAAAGGCTAACATTCTAATGGAAAAAATGCATCATATATGACTAAAGATTAACCTTAAGTAAAGTTCTCATACAGTTGTATTTTTTAAATTCATTAAGACTTTAAAGGATTCTTCACAGTTATCAAAAGAAGTGTAAATTGAAATTTACTGAAATTGTGCAGTCCTGTCTCTCAATAAATAGCTACACAAACAAAGATGTATTTGTAGCACTAACATTAACAAAAATAAAACAAAGGAATGCGTACATAAATTGGAAGGTTTTTACTGGACAGAATGATACAGCCACTTAAAAATATGGTTTTGATTTGCAGCAATGCTTTTGTAGGGGAAAATGCTGGGAATAAAACTATTGGGTTGGCCAAAAAGTTTAGTTCTTTCTGTAAAATAAAAGACACATTTTCATTTCACCAGTAACTTCATTGGTGAAAGTTTAGTTCTTTCTGTAAAATAAAGTAAATAACTTTATTTACTCTGTAAAATAAAATAAATAACTTCATTGGTAAAAGACACATTTTTTCATTTTCACCAGTAACGTTATTGAACTGGATATTTTGAGTATGTCAGCTATTTCCATGTTTCTCAGTTAATGTCTGTATTTGACTGCTGTCAAGTTCAACTGGTCTACCCAACTGTGGAACATCATCCAGCAATAAATCTCCAGCATAAAACTTCACAAACAACTTTTAACACATTCAGTCAGTCATAGCACTTCTCCATCTACTGCACAAATCTTTTTTTTTTTTTTGGCATTTTTACCTTTTTTATAGAATAATACATAATATGCTGAAAATGTTGCATATTTTCTTCCATCTTCAGTATTAAAATGGCTATACAAAAATTCACCAATTTTGACTTTTTTAATATACACTGATAATGAAGCTGTCACAATACAATCTAAGAAAATTGTTTCAAATGAAGTTAAAGACAAGCACTACTCGAGCCATCTTTTGGAGAAAAACAAATGAACTTTTTGGCCAGCCCAGGATTTAGACACTGTGATTACAGCGTCATGAAGAGAAAGCTTTAGAAAAAAATAGAAGACTAGAAGGAGAAATCAAATATCACAGTAGTTATCAGACAGTAGTTTCTCTGTGCTTTTTATAAGAGTTTTAACTTCACTCCATTTTAAAAGCAGCTAACAGAAGTGCCAGTGACTGATTGAATCTGGATATTTTATAATTAATATGGTAAAATATGTAATACATAAATATAGAGTAAAAATATATTCTCTTTTTACCCACTCCTTCAATTTAATCACACCCAACAGTTTAGTTTAGGATTCTTTCTAGTCCTGTTTCAGTTCATTATATGTGTCCAGCAAAGTATAAATTTTTTCTTTAACCCTTAGGAAAAGGGAGTTATACTGTACCATATCGCTCTATGGCAAGCTATTTTCACTTGCTATGTAATGCCTTAGCAATCTTTCTATGTCATTACATTTATCTTTGAAGAGCTACATAAATCATGACAACCAATAAAAATATACATTTGGCCCTTACTGTACACAATAAATAAAAAACAAATATGCAAATTGTGTGTGGTCATAAAAAGTGCTATTACAAAAATAGGGCGATATGATGAGTTACTGAGAAAAGGAGATTTATTTAAATACAGCAATCAGGAAACTTTTCTCTGAAGAGTTAGAAAAGGCACAAAAGGTGGAAGGAATAGGAATGGGAGAGCAGGAATAATCATGACAAGTTTCTTAGATAGAAAGAACCATTATCACTGGAGCATAGTAAAATGTAGTACAAGATGGAAAGAAGTAGACAATAGGACTTTTTCAGCCACAGTAAGGCCATTTATTAAATACTGATAAAACTACTTATGATTTCTAAAAGAAAAAGCTCTGCGTTTCCCCCCCCCCCCAAAAAGTCCTTGGTAAAATAGTTTGTGCTAAGTTATCTAAAAAATACTTTGCTGTAATTTTTGTACAAGAACAGATTAGAAGAGTTGCTGCTCTTAACACTTCCACAAAGGGTTACTTTTTCATTTTACCCCATTTTACTAAGACATTCACTAATCTAATAGGTTACTATGGTCCTATTTCTTCTGACCATCTTAAATAATAGATTTGGATGCTTTCGTTTTTTATTTCTAATTCCTTCTATACATGTAAATTAATGTAAACATATACAGAATTATTTCATAATAATAGCTAGTACAACTTTCCTAGTTTCAGAATCTGTTCAAAACACTTTTGAGTACATAAATGCATTACTTTCTTTCATTTCTGCAACAACCCTCAGAACTAGTTTCCCTATTTTACAGATTAGAAAGAGTAGGTTTAATAAGTTGTATTGAAGTTGGGATTGAAACTCAGGCATTATCCTTTGAAGTTCTATGTATATTCAAATGTATATCACTAGATTAATTTAAAAAGGAATTTCATAGCCTTAATAGAATTATTTGAATGATAATGATATCTAATTCTAGCAGCATTTATTTGTTACACTATATAATATTAAAGTCTAATTTTTCAGGCACATAAAGCTTAAAACAATTTTTCAAAAGAATTCTTGCTCAATATTATGAGGAAGAGGTAATTTAATAAAACAGTAGCTCTGTATCTTAAAACATAAAGTAATGCTTATGTCTTTGTTTTGCTTTGGTTTTAGGGTTTTTTAATTTTTGTTTGTTTTACAGTTTGGGTAGCTATGCCTTTTTAATTAAATTTATATGATCCATGAAGTCTAGGTGAGGGTTTTTAATTGGTTTTGTGTGGTTTTTGCATGCTGTAGTTCATTTAGAATACCTAATTCAATAGGTATTGAATTCACCTAATTCATTCCATAAATATGTGACAGAATGCTAGATACCGTGGTAGAAGCTGGAGATAGAATAGAAAGCAAAGAGCAGGCATGGCCTTTGCCCTTAGAACTTAAGTTAGTGTGGAGTAGCCAAGCAGTACATGTAATGATTTATCTGTGAAGTGTCAGGAAAAAAGTATAGTGCTATAAGAATATATAATATAGGTGACCTTGTCTCGGGATATTAAAGCAGCTCCCTAGGGATGATTGAATTGAAATGTGAAGAAAAAGTAGTGGTTGGGCACTGTGCGCTGTGAACAGTGGGGAAGTGTGGGGACAGTGTTGCAAACATTAACCCACATTAAAGAAGAACTGAAACATGGCAATTGAGGAACCAACCAAAAATAAAAGAAGAGCTACTCAGTAATATGACTCAAGTGTAGTGTGTGAGGGAGAACATTGTGCTAGTCTCAGCCTTAGCTTATACTTAGGGGTTGAGTGACCTGGGACAAACCACTTAACCTTTTTGAATCTGTTTCTTTTTCCATAAAATAGAGTATAATGGTATTATATATCTCACATTTGGGGGGGATAAAAAGTGGTATCTTTTTTAAATTTATATATTCAGACAGTCCATGTCCTTTCCTTATTTTTCTCATGAGTTTCTCATCTTTTTCTTATTTTAAGACACTTTATAAATTGAGGAAATGAACCCTTTCGAATCTTACAAGTGACTTTTTTTCTTCATTCTTTCTTTTGACTATATTTGTGTTTACACTAATAGTTTTGAATGGTCCAAGAGGTCTTTAAATGTTTTTAACCCATCTGCCCATTCAGAACAAATCATATTTCATCTGCAAATGGATAGGTTTCTATTTGTGATCATTGAAGTAAGTAGATACAAATATATTTTATTTACTCCTGAAACTCTATTAGATTTTTCACTGTTCATTGTGCACATTACAGTTTTTTCATAGAGCTTTTAAAATACTATGTTCTTGCAGGCCTCAGACATCCAGGCAAGGTCAGTAGTACTTACCTGGTCACCTCCCTCCAGCTTCATTAATGGTGAAAAAGATGAGACTATTGTACCAGAGCTCTATGGTTATGAAATTCTCGTCTCAAGTACTGGAAAAGATGGGAAATATAAAAGTGTGTATGTGTAGGTATTTGTTATGTTTTACTCCTTCTCATTATTAAGTTAATGGTTTGTCATAAAAAGCTTAATACTGATTTTATTCTTTTCTCTCTTCATGCTTTTATTTTGAACCTATAATTGACCAGTGACAGTGATTTTGATGTAAATAGTCCAAATGCCAGCTGTAACACATTTCTGTCTACATACTCTTAGAGTAATTGCTTTCATTGCCACATTCAGCTTTTATATTTTAGTAGGCCACCAACAGATATTTTACTATTCACATATTCCCAAGGCATAAATATAAATTGTATTATGTAGAAACCAGGACCAAAAATGGATGGTATTGCTCCTCCAAAAAACTGGAGTTAATTCTTACATGTAAAAGCTCATATCATACTGTAAAATGAATTTAGCACCATTATTCCTCATTTGTCTGTTGGTTTGTTAATAATCATATTTCAAAACCTATCATAGCCCTCTTTCCATGGTTCAAAATGTGTTTATTATATGCCAAGTAGCCTTAGAAAGAGTCTGTGGCTAAAGTTGTGACATTTATGATTGGCATTCATAAAATAAATTCTTTTGCTGTCCTTATATAGACATTACTTATTCTAATAAAAAAATAAAAAGAGTAAAGTTGATTATTAGTTATAATGTGAGCACCAGGAAGATTGTAAATGAGGGTGCTTAGTCATTCAAATGATCATAATTAGCACAGAACACTGGGTACATCAACCTTCTTGCTATCTTTTTTCAAAAAAAAAATTGCAAGCATAGGGAAGAAAGGAAAACTATCCCAGTGACTGTCATCTAGTATCATAAGGTTATAAAAAGGTCCTGTCGCCTTATCTGTATTGAGACTTTTTTGTGTTTATTCTATTCATTTTTCTTAAAAGAGACAAACCTACCTAAGGGATAAGTCTGGGATGACAGACATCAACATAATGGGGGTTTTTGTGTGTTAATGGTTGATTCTAATTAGCTATGGTTGCATGTTAAAAGGGTTTATCTCCATTTGCAACCTGACCACAGAGCATGAGATGGACTAGTCACTTCCTTTACTCTACAGCTAATTAAGGTCTCTCTGAGGATGCTGCTGCAACTGCCCAATTGATTAAAGTGTATTTTCACCAATAAGACATGTTTTCTTGCTCATAATATTTACTGGCTTTGATTTGAGAAATGGTAGCTGGTAATCTGGGAGGGCAGTGAGAAGAGATTGCAGTTGTCTATAAAGTGGAGAGGAGAGAAACCTGGATGAAGGAAATGGAAGAGACAACAGTGATTATTAAAAAAAATTAAAAAACGCTGGTTTGTTGGCTACATACCAATGATATAAAATGATTATTTTAAGAAGAGGAGCCCTGTTGTATTTTAAAATGTAATAGTGTCTATGGGAAATGCTTTACTTTAAATTATGGTTACTGTTTTTTTCTTACCTATTCATTAAACTAACATTTTAAATAAAGTTCCGTGTTATATTCTAATAAAATGCAAGATTTTGGCAGACTTATTGTAAAACTTTAGTAGTTTTGATTTCAGTATTAATGTGTTACTTTGCATTTCAAATATGTGGGAAATGGATTTTTAAATAATATAAAATAAAATGGTTCCTGATTTGCTTACCATACCTATTTGTTTTAAAATGGTATGCAGGTAATACTTAAGTTTGCCACATATCCTAATTACATAAATGCCATATTAACAGAATTTGAATATGGCCACAGTTTGTAAAGTAAGAAGCAATATAATTTCATAAATTACCTATGAGGCACGTAATGCATATCCTCCAAAAATGCTTTATTTATCAGGCAGTGAAATACTATCTTTTTCTCCCCACCCAGAGGAGAAGAAGCAGGTGTTACTTTAAATGATCTCAAACCAGCCACAGAATACCATGCAAAGTAAGGAACTCCTACATGTTGCTTTTCTATGATATACCATACGTTGTTTTATTTTTAATCTTTTCTTAAATCTAGAATACAATTTAATTATTAACTTTGTATTAAAAACATGAAGGTGGGTTTTTCTTTTGGTACAATTATCAACACTTTTCAAAAAAAAGTAAAACATTTCAACTCAGATGTTACATTTAATGGTTAATTAGCCTGTTTGTAAGACCTAGAGAGTGGAATGAAGTATAGCTAATATGTATAATATGTCTACAATATCCAATTCAGTGCTAGAAAGTGGTCCCAGCTTTTGAAATTTTTATAAAACAGAATCATAAATAACATTTGGCTTATACCATTTTGTTTTGGAAAGAGTTTTGAGATATTAAAGCTAATAGAATTTTACAGCTAATTGGGAATAACTTAGATACTGTTTTATTGTATGTTGTAATGCATTGTAAATCGCATTGTAATTTACTGAGGTTTTATAGACTCTAGGGACTTCTCTGGTTGGTATTGAATATAGTGCATTTAGCTAGTCACCTCCATTTTGAAAAGAACATTTGTGGTTAGTATTATTTCTATTAATGTATTAAATAAATTTTCAATTATACTTCCTATAGATGAACCCTAGTATATTATTCAAAATAGTATTTTTCAAACTGTGGATTGCAAACATTATTGGATTGTGTAATGAATTTTGTAGATTATATTCAGCATTTTTAAAAATTAACTATCAAATGAAATAGAAGTGGAGTATATTACTCTAGTTAATTATATTTTTTTCCGCACACTTGTTAAACACGTATGTGCATGCAGTAGTGTTTGTGTGCCTGTGTGTAAATATATAATGCACAGACACAGTTATGTTACAATTTAAAATGTATTTTTTTACTTTCGGTTACAGTCAAAAAAAGATGAACGCCACTGGTCTGTCCTTTTTTTCTCTTTAAGGGCCACTCTTCTAATATGCATGTTTTCTTAATAGAACATTTAGGGAGCAACTTATTATAACTTGAAAGTACTTAAAGGTAATACTGTTAAAGGCCCATATACAATGATTCTGTAGGATAAAACTATTTATTTTATCATCATAGAGTCCAGGCAGAATACAATTCTGTAAAGGGAACTGCTTCAAAAACTGAAAGCTTTACCACCTTGAGCTGTGAACCTGACATACCTAATCCACCAAGGATAGCCAATCGGACCAAAAATTCACTCACTTTGCAATGGAAGGTAAGGATAGTCTCTGTAGTATTTCCAACTGGACATGGATTTTCTTCCCCCCGCCCCAGTAGAATTAAATTTTAGTTAGGAAGACAAAAAAATTGCAGTTGGGAAACAAAAAGTGCTGTAAATTAACTTTCTCTTGCTCTTTACATATCTGAAAGCATTTGTTTCTTATATCTTAAAATAACACTCTTACTGGTTTTCCCTACCTTATGTAAATATAAGGGAAAAGACTGACTTATAATTAAGATTTCATATTATACTGGACGTGGTAACTTTTGAGTGTCACAACAGTAATTCTCAAGTTCACTACTTCTTTTTAAAATATTTTAATGACACCTTTTATCCTGAATTTTATCGTAAGTGAGGTTGATAATAAGTAGACTCATAGCTTTAAAGATATCAGTATGAAAAAAGTAAAATATCAATATGATACCTTAAAGGAGGAGTAAAATTATTTTCAGTAGAATAATATGTGTGTCAATATGTGAATGTTTGGACCTACCTACACAAGATACAGTGAAGTGAATAGACACTGTAGGTAGAATTGGTAATTCAAACACCACAGAAAAACATTGTCATGGGTGACATGGTTTTCTGACATAATATATAGGTTTTGGTAAATTTCTGAGCAAAAGTACAGTTCTTCCAAAATTGCATAGTAATTGCATTTGGAGAAAATTAATAACTGTTAAAACTCTACAAAAAATACCTTGTGAAATGGATTAGGTTCATCTATATTTGTAAATAGGTATTTCATCTACTTAGATGTACACTAAGACAACAAAAAGTCCATGCTAGAGGGAGAGAACAGTTACGGTATTGATTGTCCCATACTCTCTGCAGGACTGTTAGCATCTTGATTCCTCCCTTCTACTCATCAGCTTCTTCACCCCTGCCATTATTGTGATGATCAGAAACACCTCCCACAAAATGTCAAAACATTCCTTGAAAGGGAGAACCACTGCTGTTAGCAACCATTGGTTTGCAGTGAGAAAAGAATGGCTTATCTTGATTTAATCATCTCATTTTATCTCAAGAGTAAAACTCTGGACTCGCTTTCTTTGCAAAAGCTTTTGAATGTTTGGAGCTTGCTAGTTTAGATTTCATTAGTTCCCAGTTCTTTTGAGGATATTGATGATGTGGGTAGTTAAAAACAACTTTTAGCACATGTAAATCAAACAAGTTTGTACACATTGGCAAAATGGTTACTTTTATTTCATATCAGAGAAGCATTTTGCGTATAAATATGCTATGGTCCTTTGCTTTGGTAGGGCAGTGGGATAGCCACCCAGTGTCCTTCAAACTGGTTTGGGATTTTTCTCTTCCTTTTCTTTAAAGTTATTTTTATGTTGTTTTTTTTCCTATCACCATTTAGTCCCATGACACCCACCCTTCCTGAGCAATTATTGCACTGTTTTCTATGTCTACTTTGACCTTTTTGTTTAGTCCCTCTAACCTCCAACACCAGCCAGCTATTATCCTGCTCTCCATCCATGAGTCTGTCCCCATAGTCCTTGTTAGTTCAGCTAGTTCTTTAGGTTCCACATATGAGTGAAATCACGTGGTTTTTGTCTTTCTCTAACTGGCTTACTTCATTTACCATAATTTTCTCCAGGTCCATCCATACTGAGGCAAAAGGTAAAACTGACTTCTTTTTCATAGCCTAGTAGTATTCCATTGTGTAAATGTCCCATAGTTGTTTTAGCCACTAATCTATTCATGGACGCTTGGGGCACTTCCATATCTTGGCAATTATAAATAATACTGCAGTGAACATAGTGGTGTTTATGTACTTTCAAAAGAGTGTTTTGGGTTCCTTTGGGTATATTCCCAGAACTGGGATCGCTAGGTCAAAAGGCAGATCCATTTTTAATTTTTTGAGGTATCTCCATACTCCTTTCCACAGTGGCTGCACCAATCTGTATTCCCACCAACAGTGTATGAAGGTTCCCTTTTTTCCATGTGCTAACCAACACTTGTTGTTTGTTGATCTGTTGATGATAGCCATTCTGACAGGTATGAGATGGTATCTCATTGTGGTTTTAATTTGCATTTCTCTGATGATTAGTGATGTTGAGTATCTTTTCATATGTCTACTGGCCATCTCTATGTCCTTTTTGGAGAAGTATATATTCTGGTCCTTTGCCCATTTTTTAATTGAGTTGTTCAGGGGTTTTTTTTGCAGGGGGGGGTAGGGTTGGTATTGAGTTTCATAAGTATTTTGAAATTTTGGATACTAACCCCTTATCAGATGTATCAGAAAATATGTTCTCTCATTCTGTGGGTTGCCTTTTTTATTTTGTTAATGATTTCCTTTGGTACGCAAAAACCATTTAGTTTGATAAGTCCCATTTGTTCATTTTTTTCTGTTGTTTCCCTTGCCTGGGGAAATATATCCGATAAACTGTTGCTACAAGCAGTGTCCAAGATATTACTGCCTATGTTTTATTCTAGAATATTTATCATTAGAGTCTAACCATAAATCATGGTTAGACTCATTAATCATGAGTCTTTGATTCATTTTGAATTTATTTTGTGTGTGGTGTAATAAGGTGGTCTAATTTCATTTTTCTGCACATATCTGTCCAGTATTCCCAACACCATTTATTTATTCATCTATCTTTATCCCATTGTATATGCTTGCTTCCTCTGTTGAATATTACATTAAAGGTAGAGATTTATTTCTGTTCCATTGATTTACTTGTCTGTGTTTCTACTAGTACCACATAGTTCCATTGATCTTTGTGTCTGTTTTTATGCCAGTACCATGCTCTTTTGAATTCTGTGGCCTCATACTATAGTTTGATATTAGGTGGTGTGATTCCTGCAGCACTCTTTTTTCTCAGGATCACAGCTCCTATTCAGGACCTGTTGTAGTTCTTTATAAATTTTTGAAATATCTGTTCTAGTGGTGTGAAGTATGTCATTGGAATCTTATAGGAATTGCACTAAATTTATTTTCTTTCTTTCTTTAATTATATTGTTGTTCAAATACAGTTGCCCTCATTTCCCCCCCATTACTCCCCTCTGCCCTACCCATCGCCATCTCCCACATTCAGTCCCCCACCCATTGTTTTTGTCCATGAGTCCTTCATACATGTACCATGTCAACCCTTCCCCTTCTTTCCCCTGTATCCCCCTGGATTTTGTAACCCCCCTCCCCTCTGGTTACTTTAATTTTGTTGCTTATTTCCATGTCTCTGATTCTATTTTGCCCACTTGTTTCTTTTGTTGATTAGGGTCCACTTAGCACTGAGATCATACGGTATTTGTCTTTCACCACTTGGCCTATTTCACTTAGCATGATGCTCTCCAGTTCCATCTATCCATTCTGTTGCAAAGGGTAGGAGCTCCTTTTCTCTCTGCTGCATAGTATTCCATCGTGTAAATGTACCACAGTTATTTGATGCACTCATTTACTGATGGGCACTTAGGCTCTTTCTAGCTCTCAGCTATTGTAAATTGTGTTGCTATAAACATTGGGTAGCATAGCTTTTTTTGAATAAGTGTTCCAGGATTCTTAGGGTATAATCCCAGCAGTGGAATTGCCGGATCAAAAGGCAATTCCATTTGTAATTTTTTCAGGGAGTTCCATACTATTGTCCACAGTGACTGCACCAGTTTGCATGCCCACAAACACTGTGCTAGGATTCCCTTTTCTTCACAACTTCGCCTGCACTAAGTGTTTGTTGATTTGTTTATGATGGCCATTCCAACCTGTGTGAAGTGGTATCTCATTGGGGTTTTAATTTGCATCTCTCTATTGGCTAGTGATGTTCAGCATTCTTTCATATGTCTCTGGTTTCTTTGTGTGTTCTCCTTGGAGAAATGTCTGTTCAGGTCCTTTGCCCATTTTTTAATTGGATTCTTGCCAAGAATGCAAGGACAGTACAATATTTGCAAATCAATAAATGTAATACATCACATAAACAAAAGGAAAAAATCACATGATCATATCAGTAGATGCAGCAAAAGCATCTGATAAGGTACAGCACACATTTATGATAAAAACTCTTAGCAAAGTACAAGTAGAGGGAGCATACCTCAATAAAATAAAGGCTGTATACAAGAAACCTACAGCCAACATTATACTCAACAAGCAAAAATTAAAAGCTTTCCCACTAAGATCAGTAACAAGACAAACGTATCTGCTATCACTACTATTTAACACAGTAGTAGAAGTCCTGGTCATAGCAGCCATACAAGAAAAAGAAATAAAAGGCATCCAAATTGGAACAGATGAAGTACAATTGTCGTTGTTTGCAGATGGCATGATAGCATACATAGGAAACCCTATAGACTTCACCAAAAAAACTGCTCAACCTAGTAAATGAACGTGGCAAAACAGCGGGATACAAAGTCAGTATTCTTAAATCGAAGGCATTTTTTACACCAACAATGAAATAGAAGTCAGGGAAATTTTCGTTTGATAGAGCAGCAAGAAAGATAAAGTACCTAGGAATAAACCTAACCAAGGAGGTAAAAGACCTGTACTCAGAAAACTACATAACACTGAAGAAAGAAATCAAAGAAGACAAACAAATGGAAGCATATACTGTGTTCATAGATTGGAGGAATTGACATAATCAAAATGTCCATACTACCCAAAGCAATTTATAGATTCAACACAATCCCTACTAAAAATACCAATGACGTATTTCACAGATATAGAACAAACATTTCAAAAATTTATATGGAACTATAAATGACTCTGAACAATTTTAAGAAAACAAAGTAAGAGGGATTGTACTAACTGATATCAAACTGTATTACAAGGTCATGGTAATCAAAACAGTCTGGTACTAGCATAAGAACAGACACATAAATCAATCGAACAGAATAGAGAGCTCAAAAATAAACCTATGTCTCTGCAGTCAATTACTATTTGCCTAAGGGAACACCAGCATAAAATGGAGTAAAAATAGCCTCGTCAACAAATGGCATTGGAACATCTGGACAGCTACATGCAAAAAAATGAAACTTGACCACCAACTTACATCATA